GCATTGAAACTACCAGTGAAACTACCAGTAAAACTTACGTTCACGTGTCATTTTGGCGGTCCACTGCTACATGAGCAAGTGAAGTGTACCCTGAAAATTGTGGAAGTAGTGATTGGCAAATTTTGTAGCTCTACATACTTTTGCATTTTTTGCACCCGTGTCTCATCGTCGGACTACGTTGTCTTCGTGAAAGTAGCACAAGTGGCACACACCATCTTAAATGACTAAAGAACGACTCACCTACACATGTGCAAGTGTACCTGGAAGTAAACAACACGACGGATGCAGCCATCGCACTGCATGTGCTGCCGCATTTCTCTCGCAGATGTGGCAACAAACTCCGAGACGGTGAAAGTAGCGAGGGTTTTTTTTTTGTATTTTATTTGTTTTAATACATAGCAGTATTTCTCATAACAAAAACAATAGCTCTAAATTTGGGCCATTCCGTGATTCGAGTGAGTGCTTTGTGTACTCTCTTGGCAGCGGACGACTGCACCTGGATGGAAATTATGTAGTGGTCACTACCAGCGAGTTAACAGGTGTTCTCCCATCTGGCCTGCGCAATTTCCTTGCAGTATGCGAGATCAGGTGACGTGTCCTTACACACGCTGCTTCCTATGCGTGTCGGTAACTGCTGCAAGTCATTTAGTAGAGTGAGACGGAGGTCCTAACTGAGTTACCATAGCTTCTTGCCTCGTTTGTTTGCCTGCTGATAGTCCCAGTCAGAATGCCTGGTGTTGAAATCTCCCAGTATAAGCAGCTGTGCGCCTCGAGATAGCGATGTGGTTTTCTGGAAGAGCAGGTCGAAGTCGTCGGCGCGTGCCCGGGGTGCGCAATATACGATGAGGATAAAGACTGACAGATGCAAGTGCTTTCGCGGTAGAATTTACACGACCGTGTGTGGAATGTCCGGGAACTCCAAGTCGTGTTGTTTCGCCGTGAGGCTGTTGTGAATGAGCGTACCTGCACTTGGGGCTTCTTGGTTGTGCAGGTGGGTGAATTGTTGGAAAGCGATGTAACCCGGGAGTGAGACAGCAGCTGTTGTTTCCTGTAGTGCGATGACATCTGGAGGCGTTTGGCAATTCGTCAGTTGTCTTTTTTGTACAAGCAGCTGCAGGTGGGCTTTCTTTTTACGGAAGCCCTTGCAGTTCCACTGGCTTATAGTCAAGTGGGTGCTGGCCATGATGCACCAGCTGGAGCATTACTTGAGGGCGTCGTGGGTTCGCTGTGCAGGGTGGAAGAGTGAGAGAACACTCTGTTGCGTATGATAGCTGGTGCTATGGCCATGCTTTGTTCAATTACTGCAAACCTGGTGTCTGTGGCAGTTCTGAGTGCTTCTAATCCGGCTACGGTGTTGTTTACGGTGGCTTCCATGTTTGAGAATCATGTCTCTATGTTCGTTAGACGTGAATCTACGGTTGCGAAGGCTTCTGTTACGGCGGGACGAACGACATCGGCGACCGTGGCATAGACTGTCGTGTGGAGAGCTTCAGCAATGGGTGCGTTAACCGTTTATATAATTTTTGCCGTCATGTCCTCTTCGGATTGCAGCATTTCCGTGGAAGTCATTGCTTTACGTTTGGCTGCTGCGGCTGGTGAGGGCTGTACAGTTAAATTATGCACAGACTGGCTGACCTTTGCCAGTCTGCTTTCTAGAGAGCGGTTTTGCGCAGACAGCGTTTCAATCTGAGCTTATCACATCGCGATTTGAGATTTAAACGCACTGATTGTTTGCGCAAGTTCCTTGACGAGCAGGTCATGTGTCAAAGCACACGATTTCGATGACTGCAGGTGAGATGATGGAAGCAGAGACGCTGGGCTTTGCGCCCATGCCACACTAGGGTCGCTTGGTGAAGCTTTTGATAAATCGGCATGCCGAATGGGACTTGATGATCGGGTTCTTGATTTGGACCTTGAGTGGCAGGTTGATTAACCCTGACGCGATAGACTTCGATCGGCTATCCCGTTTCGTCGGCGTTTCCGATGTCCCGAGACTGGGGTAGTTACACTCGTCCAAGGCAGGCAGGCTATCGTCATTTGAGTTGGGCTGCGTCACTGGTGACTCAGTTTGTAGCGTTTTTTCTGCTTGTACTGCATTAAGTGATTCAGGCTTTTTGGCGAAGTGGTACTGGCATTTTGAACTGTTAGTCATGTGTCCTCCTTGACAGGCGATACAGCATGCTTGGCATGTTGGTGGCGTTCCTTGCGGCGGTGGCTCGTGGTCTTCTCCGCACCGCGGGCAGCATTGGCGCCTAAGTTGAGGGCACACATCGGAGCAGTGCCCAGTCTTCCGGCAGTTGAAGCATGCGTCTACTTTGGGATAGAAAGGGTATACTCAGATGAAACCTCCAAGGAGTAGAAGCCATCTAAGTATGTGGTCCCTGAGCAGCATTATGAGTAAATTCTTCATTTTTACCATGCGTCTGCACCTACTATTTGTTAGTCAGGGTTGCTTTCTTGAAGGTTCTTCAGCGTCTCGTCATCGATGGGGAACGTGCGGGCATAAAAAGCGATTCGCGTCATTAGGTGGCGGGGCGTACATGTGAGAAGACCGGCGCAATCTGCCAGTCTTCTCCGAGAAGGATTGACCTGATGCATTGGTATGTGATTGATTGGTCGGTGGTAGCCACACTAACGGTTAAAGGTTATTCCTTGGGTGTATGCGTATTTGGTCACGCTTGGCGGGGTCCAGGTCACACAGAGATGCCGCTTTAAACAGTGCTCTTTGCAAGTCTCCGTGTGATGTATGCATGAGGTCGACAGGTGTCTTGGGGCGTCCCACGATGTGATGCTTGTGTGACGGCAGTCTTGGCAAGGAATGGCGCTTCAGTTTCTGTGGAGGCCGGGGGTTAGTGGAGTTTTGGGGTCTTTGCTTACTTGCGTGTCGTTCATTTGGGCTAGTTGCTTCAGTGCCTGGTGGCGTTTTGCCTGGGCTCGGAAACCTTCAGGTGGTGCTTAGGAATCGTCTGACCATTCCTCCAGAGAAATTTCAACGCCGTCGACCTCGATTTCCGTGTCGACTGGTGTCCCCGGCAGCCGCGAGAGCGGCGTCCGGTGCAACGTCGCTAGGCCTAGGCGTCCAGTGCCCAAGCTTGCCGGCGTGGCACGAAAAGATGAAAAGCTTACTTGAAAATGGTGACCAGTATCTACTAGAAAGTGGTATCCTTGGGACCGGTATGACTTGCGGAAACCATTCGTACAATAAATGTTGAGCTATGGGCACGTCTTCCTACTGAAGCACCGGAAAACATCGGAGCTCGGTAGAGACGCGTCCAATCGCTTCCAGCACTCCTGCGAGTCCTCGAACTTTTCGTAAGCGCAAAAAAAAAATGGTTGATCCTTCCATCATAGAAATTGGTAGAACATGAAAGTAAAATATATCTTAAATGTGGTTGTTAAATTTTTACTATACAATGACATGAGAGAGCTTGTACAATGTATGTTGGTGTTTCATAGCTGTAGCAAAGTTTAATGTGGATACATCCACATTGATGCTTAATGATACATCTCCCTCCTGACAACTAACATCCATAACTAATGATTAAACAAACCTTTATAGTCATAGATCGCTCGTTGTAGCTCTAGCAGCTAACTGTGAGAGCGGAAGTGGTGTGACAGCCAGAACAGCATGGCTGATTGGACACCGAACTTAGGCTGAGGTCGCTTACTCCTGACATGTAGAGTTACTGAACACCACTGCCTGACTAGAAGGAAACGCAACGCGCGCCGTGCTTTCCCTGCTGACTGGCCGTGATTTAAGCACACGGAGTTACAGCCAGGCGAAGGGTGCACGTAGCAGGGCTATTTTTGGCATAGATATATACTATGAGCGATGTCAGCATTAGTTAAGTTTGAGGCATTGATGAAATTGCACTTCGATTGGAAACATGCCGAACAGGATGAATGCATAAAAACGACCTGCTAAAGAAACTAATTATGGATGTTAAAGTCATGAGGCATTACTTCACTTTACCAAAACCACTGTGAAAGGACAGGGTTACATATAAAAGGTGTGTTTTAGGAGCCTACAAAGCGTGTGACTGTGACGCAATGAATAGTGTGTCGGGCATCTATTGTTGCAACCAAAAAAGTCATTAGTTCCACTACCGTCAACAGAACTTTTTTCTTTGTGTTTTGATCACGCCTATTTCTCTGACATCATTTCCGTGATAGTAATACGTCACTGAAATCTTGGTAGACCCCAGCCTAAAACACTTTTGTGCAAAACAATTAGGTTGCAGTTTGTAGCCATTTGGCTACTAATAACATCTTGTGTATTCTGATTGGTTGTGTGATCAGAAGCAATGACAAGACTGCTTACGACTTTTTTTCATATTTATTGAAAATGAAGAATGAGGTAAATATTCCCAATTCAAGTTGCTTGTTCCAATTACTCCTTTGCTCCAAAAGGACTACAAGTACCTCAGCCCATCAAAACAAAAATGAAGTGTTTCGTAAATGTCACTGCTCCTCATTTGTGTATAGTTGTGAAGCATGTCTTCACGGGTTGCACTGCTGGAAACTTTTATGTGCTAATAGCTGCTGCATCTTGTGCGAATTGATACAATATATAAACACTATTACTGCTTCTGTGGCAAAGTTACACTGCTACAGATTTGCGCCCTAGGAGACTGGCAGTGGGCTTGCTCTACACACATTTCGGCCACTGTAATCACACCTCACTGGCAGTGTGCGCAACAGGAAGTGTAACAACCTATTGCAGTAGTTACCTTATTCATGGTTAAATCATAGAGAAGAGTGTGAGCCTGCCACTCACAGGTGGTCACGTGATCAAGCATAATGTTTCGCTCAGCGCTACATTCTCATCATGTCACCTGTAGCTGTCAGTCACACATGATTTCATAGGCAACGCAATTGTGATCTGTAATTTCTAACGCTCCTTTACCACGGTGTTCCATTAAGAGAACACTGCTACCACAGCTTAACTGAATGGTGAGACATCTGATGTGCCACGAGAATGGTATCTTGCCTTAACTCACCGTAACGGCCTGCACGTCCAGAACGGTGCAGATGAGTCTCCAGGTCATATGCTATGTCGAAGTGAATGACCAGGTTGACCCTTTCTGCATCAATGCCGCGAGCTGCCTGCAATGCAGTAGACTGTCTTTCACAAAGGGAAGAACACTGCAGTATGCTCCTTTGACCGTGCCACTCCACACTACAAAAACGACACAGCAACTCCACATTTTTCTTTTATTAGCTTGGACTGAGGCAGCTGAGGCATATTCTAGCAGAAATTTGCAGAACAATATACAATGATGACATTTTTATTTATTTTCAGTGTGTAGCTTGCTTAGGGCTACTTCAAGTTATCCCATCATAACTTGACACTCTGCCTATCTCTGTACATATAATCCTACTGCCACCTCTTTGTTGCTTTCTTTCGACATACAAAGACTCTCTAACTTGCACAAGAATCTCATTAAAACAACGCTGGTTAACCCTGCTTTCAGGGCGATTTTTTTTTGAGTAATGCATTCCAAAAGTGTGTATTTTTTCATTGCTGAATCAAATTCTTCAGAAAAATTCATTTCAGAAAAAAAAAACTACCTAAATTCTTCTTTGGTTGATTGTAAACTGATAAAAAATCATCCGTGTTGTCACATACACATGGTTTATTCGTAACGGCGAAATAAATTCTCAAAAACAAAAACTTAGATGACAGTTCAAAACTTGTGCCCTGACGTACAAAAATATATACAAAAAGTGGTGTTGGAAACCAGGAGGCGAGGGCGAGTGAACTTTAGATCCAGCCAGCATCATCACCCTGTGCACGCATTTGAGATGTTGCTCACTCTTCAACTTCAGAGCCTTAACTCATAAGCAACTCCTCATATGACAGGCTGACATTTACTGAATCAGATTTTGGTTCGGCAGTCGAGTGGTGATTCGGAGGAATTGCTGATGGGAAAAACCATTGTGCCCTTCCTCCATAGCGAAAGCAAACTGCAAAGCTGAGAGCTCTGAAGAAAATTTCAAACTGTGTTTGACAACAGACGGACGAATAGATACGCTCGAGGGAGTGGGGAATCAACTTTATTGAGAGATGATGATGTCCTCAAGGTGGCTCCACGGGGGCAGCGACCCTTTCGGCCCAGGCAGCAATAGCGAGCTGCTTTTCCTTGATGCGAGATTTAATGAGCTCCCCCCACTCTAACTGTGAGGGAGATAAAAAGAGCATTTCGGGGGGAGAAAGGCAATGACAGCCCCACAATACATAATTTCGTGTAGCCAATTCTCGCGCGCTACAGAAAAGAGTAAGTTTGAATGCGGCAGAGTATCGTGGCCTGCGCTCTCATAATGTCTTCATCAGGCAATGGATAGACGCACCGTTCACTTTGTAAAAGCTTGTGATGTCATTAAAAAAAGCTCGGTGCCTCACCAGGGAAAACTGGGTCCGAGAGGCGCGCCTCCCGGTTTGTTAGACCCCAGTCTATGCGGCGCGCATTCTCGTTTCCAGGGTTCACCGAGTGGGCAGGGACCCATAGTAATTCAATTGTCTAGTCATACTGACAGTTCTTTAAAATCCTGGCTGCTCGGTTGTTGATGCTCCCCCTTCAAGAGATTAATTGTGGCTCTCTTCAAGTCACTTAATATCGTTCGGGCGGAGGCACTCGTCATGGCCCTAGCAATGGCATTCTCTTCAGCTTCCACGGCAGAGGGCACCTGTACTGAGGCGGTGTTCGTAATCTGCCCCCTCCGGTCACCACACTTACAGTATAACATTGGTCGTTTTGTTTGGTTGCACCCACATACGCAACGAAGTGGTTGTTTTTGTACTTCTCGTGAAGGTCTATTGCTCTAACAGACTGCTTTCTATCATGTCTGCCCGGTAGCATGTTCTAGGGCAGAGGCTTCCCCACAAGCTGGCGCCCGGTCGCCAGTGGTAGCGAGGTCCGCCTCGCAGTGTTCATATCTGGGTTTATGCCTAGTCTGTCTAGAACACCTCTATATATATATGCCTAAATGTAGCAATCAGTCGGCACGTGCATAACTAGGGAGTCCTAAGGCAGATTTGTAAGCCATATGAATTACACTATTAATTTTTTCCTTGTCAGAGAGTCGGAGATGATAGTATGAGAAGGAGTACACAATGCAGATGATCAGGAAGGCTTCGGTAAGCCGGCATAAGTCTGCCTCTTTCATACCATGTTGTCGCGTGGCTACGGGCTGGAGCCGGCCACATATCTGGAGAGCCGTGGCTTGCAGCCGCGCTATTGCTTCTGAATTATGCGTATTATGCTGTATTAATATTCCCAGCACTCGTATCGTTAACACAGGTCGCACCGGTCCATCTTTCACATTCACGCAAATAGGAGAAGCAGAGTCCCATGCAGTCCTAGGTTTGTGAGATTTATTGCGATTTACTAGAAGTTCCAATTCTTGGGGAGAACACGCAAGACCGTTTTTTTTTTTTAAACAAATTTTGTACCACGTCGGCGGCTCCTGTAACCAACTGTTATCTCACCATCCGAAGCGCTGTTGGTTCAGACAGTGATGTCTACCGCGTAACCGGAGTACTTTTCTGCGACGAATTCGCCCAGTAAATTGATTTGTGGCGTTTAACGTCCCAAAACCACCATATGATTATGAGAGGCGCTGTAGTGGAGGGCTCCGAAAGTTTCGACCACCTGGGGTTGTATAGCGTGCACCGATATCTGAGTACTCGGGCCTACAACATTTCCGCCTCTATTGGAAATGCAGCCGCCACAGTCGGGATACGATCCCGCGACCTGCGGGTCAGCAGCCGAGTACCTTAGCCACTAGACCACCGTGGCAGGGCTTCGCTCCAGTAAAGTAGGGAGAGCTCGCATAGTAACATTCAATGGGATGAGAGAAAGCACTGTGCCCTGAGAGGTGCCCCTGATTTATAATTGAAGAGATTCGCTCCTGATGTCTCCCATAAGAATCTCCGCAGTTCTATTCTTAAGAAAACCGGCAATGTAGGTATATACACGCTTGCCCACATTCATTTGTGTCAGATTGGCAAGTATCGACATGTGGGACACGTTGTCGAAAGCCTTGCTCACATTCAGCCCAAGAATGGTGCACGTGGCTCTAATGGGGCCCGGATTTAGAATGTCACATTGTATCTGCTACATGATATCTTGCGTGGACAGATTAGGCCTGAAGCCGATCACTGTATGAGGGAAGAGCCCCTCTCTTTCTGCATACTCGTTTAGTCTATCTAAAATGACATGCTCCATAACTTTGCCAAGGCACGAGGTTAAGGAAATGGGGCAGAGATTTTAAAAGTCTAATTTCTTACCATGTTCAGGTATAAAAATTACCTTAGCATGTTTCGAGATAGTCGGTAGGGTGCCCTCTTTCCAGTGGATATTAAAGAGTTTTGTGATCTCCATAATCGAGGAATCATCTATATTGTGTAACATTTTATTGGCGACTCTGTAATCACCAGTGGCTAATGTGGTTTTGATTTTAATTAGACCCGTTCGAACCTTGGACTCTAATTTTTCCATTCAATTCTTCGTTGTTTTTCTGATGTAAGTGACAGGTACAAGAAGATCTGTATTGAGATTAAAGTATCGGCCTTTAAGTTTCTAAATAAGCGCATTGTTATCACCCGGAAGGGAGTGTGTAATCCTTTGAAGGTTTTCCAAAACGCTGTTTTAGTGAGGTTAGGATCAACTAGATGTTCAAGCAAGAACCACATATTTTTACATCATAGCTGCCTGTTGAGGCGTTCGCAAAGCTGATGCCAGTGTTCTTGGCTTAGTATTGCTCAATGTCTCGCTCGAGCTGTGCAATTCGTCTACGGAGGCTTTTGTTGTGCTGTTGCGTTAACAACCGCTTGTGAAGACCACAAATGAACCAATTTGGCGTCCGAACTCGGACCATCCTCTTCTGCATCCACCTGGAGGTGGAATTTTTACCATCTAGCACAAGGCTGGACAGCCACTCCTCGAGGCTTGCAGTCGGGGCAGACTCGTGCTGATCACGAATGAACCAAAATATCTCCTATCTAGTGTGCATGACTTTAGGTCTTGTGCGTTTGTGACCCCTGGAGAGGATCCTTGTGGATAAAATGTAGTCATCACTCTCTACATTTATCTTTCAATTTTCCCAGGTGGAATTGAAAATATTTTTAATAAATGTCAGGTCGAGTGAACTGTCACGACTTACGCTGTTACCAATGCATTTCGGGTTGTTAAGGAGAAGGTAGCCAAGGTTTTGGGCTGTCTCCAAAAGCTTTGTGCCTTTCTTTTCACAATTAAGATAGCCCCAAGACGAGTGCTGAGCATTAAAATCACCAAGCACCACAAATGGTGCTAGATTTGCATATTTACAGGATACAGCCTGTTTCTTATCTCGCGGGGGGCTACAGACATTTAATACATATAATGCTAGTTGTAATCACTGCTTTGGTAAAATTTCGACAAACATACAAAAGATTGCCTGGAAATTTAAGCCTAATTGATTGCCAGTTAGATTCTTATGTACCGTAAGTGCTGTGACGGCAGAAGCAATCAGGGATGCAATTTCACTTCAGTGACGTGCAAAAACGGGAGAGTTTAGCCGGCCTTAACATTTCGAGAAATAACTAAATTCTATCAATTCAGCCATGCAATTTATCATAAACCCTGTAAGGGCCTTACAAAGGCAGAGGAACCCTTACTTCTCCACCTTTACACCAAAACACTGCTGTGCCCGCCAGTTTTGAAATATCTCGATCTTGCCTGTACAGGAAAATGCCCGCACTGTGCAGAGAAGTGCTCCGATATCTTTCACATGCTGTGGCCATGCCAGTCAACTCCGCGCCTCACCCCAAAATTAAACCCCACCCAGAGGACTGGGAGGAAGCCCTGCTCAGCTGTTCCGACATGGCGAGCCAGAAGACCGTGGTCAACCGAGCTCGAATCGCCTTGGCTGCCAATGAACTTCTGTGACAAGGAGCCCACCTAGTGTGTCCGAGGGGTGGCCCGCACAGGGCCTTCTCCCTCCTACTCCCTGTATATATATATAAATAATAAAGGTTTTCTCTCTCTCTCACCTCCATGCCAGTTTCCTGGAGGGCCAGAATATCGGGTTTAGTTCAGGAATTTTGAATCATGTATTCCAAAGCT